CGTTTGTATTGAATTGGTGTCGGCTACATCAAAATGTTGAGTGTTGCTGTTTCTGGTTGCAGTGACTTCTCTGTCTCATATCTCTTGGTCGCTCCTTGTCGTTTCCAGTTCCAAAGCGTGTTCGGACTGTTTCCGGTTTTTTTCTTTGGGGCCTTTGGCTCCACCAATATTCTGTGCAGAGCAATATCCAGGCGCGTGAAAAGCGATGGCAGCAAGGGAAGCTTGGCAACGACACAGGGACGAGTTCGTGAATTTGGCAGCGGAGGCCAAGTTCGACATGTGATGCCCCATTGCAGATGTTGCCCCGCGCGGGCCACCCTGATCGAGCTGTTATTGTGTGTTTGTGTCTCTCTCTCCCGCTCTGTTTCTCTCCCCTTGGATGTTGTCCGCCTCCGGTCTCGTGAAATTCGGTTTTTGTTATCGTGTTGTGGGCCGTGGCCGTTGTGCCTCGACGTTTTGGTAGTATTTTTCGTCGAACGGATTGATGATCAGTCAAGGGTAGGGGTTGTCTTGCCGCCTGTAACGCCCACCAAGACAGGAGGGAACGAAAAAGAAAGAAGGGATAGGAGGAGACAGAGCAAGGGAGGGGAGAGGGGGATGCATATGGGTAGAGGGAAGCGGGGGGGAGGAGGATGTGGAGGAGGAATGAAATGACATGGAATTGACCCTTTTGCGCTGCGAGATCCACATTCGAAACGAGCTCAGTGGATGGCTTGGCTCGGCTGGCTGCCTGATATTTTGGTGCCCCCCCTGGAGACAAATTTGTCGAGGCACTTCCGTCTGATACGATTGAGAATGCCAGGGCACTCAGAGGCAACATTCTTCTGGGGTTGCTCACCTCCTGAGAAAACACAACACGAGCAAATCCACCATTGTGAGGAGGAAATGAGGGCCAAATGCGATGGGTGGATCCAACCGCCCCCCAGGTGAACCGTAAACCCCCATCGGCAGTCGGGCAAAACATGAAGAGTTCACAGGCTCCAAATCGAAACAATGCGAATTCATCCACCCCGTAGGAGTGTCCAAAGAGGCACAACCATGGCACCTGCTACAATGCCTGCCTCACTCGTTCGGCACATGCGCGGAAACGAAAAGGGCGAGGGCGGACGGGGCGGGAGGGGGAGCCGGCCTGGTTGGAACACTCCTCGAGGGGGAAGGATCTAGGCTTCCTAGATGTGGTCCGTCGGGTCGGAGGATCGCCCTTCATCGCTGATGCATCCCCGATGCGGCTCGATGTAGAGCCAGATTGCCTCCGCGCTTGCGTCGCCGAAGCTCCGCCGACGTCGCCGATGTATTCGCGATGCATCGCCGATGCGGCGTGATCCTCCGACCCATCTATTCGAACCCCATCTAGCCTGCCTCTAAAGGACGAGCAGCCATCGCCTTGAGGGTGGATCGGAGCAGGCCCCTCCTGACAAGGGACGCGTCCGCTTATGTGTTGAGCACACGATACCTGATGCCAGGATCCAGCCTGACGGAGTCTGCTGCACATCCTGCAAAGTGGTCAGCAATGGTATGACCAATAGCAACAAACACTGGGTACCCGCAATAGTGAAGGGCGTCAGCCTCGATGTGGGATGGCACCTGCAGCACCACGATTTGCGACACGTCGCGACCCTGAGTCTGAAGCAAGTCACGAATCAACTTCCAGGGGGACGAATTGGAACGCTGAGACCGTGAATAGAATCCCTTGTACCAGCCATCCGCCTTTCTTGCGGCCACAGTCTGCCCCTGCCCTGCCGAGGAAGCCATGATCTCGAGTTTGGCCCGAGTGGCCGCGCGGCGCCAGCGCAGCTCGCCCTTGCTGGCAGAGGCGCGCGACTCGGCTCGACCGGATCGATGGCGAGTCGAGCAATTGGCGGCGGCGATGCCGTTTCAGGCATATTTGCCCCCACGTTGGCTGCGATGTTGGCCGCCGTGATAAAAGCGTCGGCTCCACCCTTGGAGAGCGCGGGCCGCTCCCCTGCATCTTGCATCGACGACTGCGCGCCCCCAATCAGAAGGTGCAAGGCCCCCAGCGCTCGCGGTGGCGTTGCCGGCATCGGCGGCACACTCCGCGCCAGCCTCTCGCCTCGATCAAGCAACTGGCATGTTGGCCGCGTCCTGGGCGCCTCCCCGTTGGCGGCGGCGAGCTTGGCCGCGGCCTCCGTGGGGCGCGCCTCCTTGGCGGCCGCGTCCTACGCGGCTGCCGCGGCTGGCGGCGCAGTCGCACCAACGCCTGCGGGGGCCGCGGAGGCCTGCGGACTGGCCCGCTCACCCGCGCCGCCAACGCCCTCATCCTCACACCTACGCTTCTTGGCCATGCGCGTCTGGATCTGCTGCCACAGCTCCTTGGCCCTGGTAAGCCACGCCTGGGCCTCCGAGCTCTCGGAAGAGAGGTGCTGCTTGGCGGCCTTAAGATCGGGCTCCAGACGCTTGGGCGTTTCTACCTCAGTCAGCTCCGCCTCGAGCTGGTCGAGCAGCACGAATGAGGTCTCGTCCCACTGACTGCCGAAGAGCGCCTGCTCGCCCTTAGGCGTCGACGGTTGGCAGGACCTCGCACTTGGCCGCGAGAGTCTGGGCCGCCATCTTCTTAGCCTCCTGGGCCGTGACGAGCGCCAGCACGGTCTCCGCCTCGAGGTCCTCCGCCCGCGCGAGGTTCTTCCGGCACCGCTGGAGCGCCGGCTCCGCGTCCCTGACCGCCCCGACGGCCCTGCGGAGCGCCTCCTCGGGAGTCGAAGGGGCCCCGTGCGCGGCGGCCGTGAAGCTGGCGATCTTGGCCCGTGATGCGCGTCGTCCTACGGTGGCTGCCGGCGCCCCCTCCAAGGCCGCCAACGGCGACGAGGTGGAGCTGGATGCAGCAGCGAGGGCGAGCCGGTTGGAGGCTGCATCCGCACCGTCACCAGGCTGCTGGCTGCCGCTGCTCTTCTTGCTGGGGCAGAGCTTGACGAGGCGCCCGCAACCAAAGCACTTGCGATTTGCCTTGGGCAAGACGGTGTTCCACTCGTGGCGTCCGCAGCCCTTTCATATGCTCCATGAGCCCGTCGGGGCCGAGGCGGGAGCCATGGCGATGCGCCCTCTCTTAGCCACCGTGAAGGGCGGTCCTGTGAGAGCTGCTGCCTCGGTGCCCCCCAGGCGCCTCATGGCGGCGAGGGCTCGACTCGGCGCCACAATGTTGCTCGAGACAGATGCTTGAGAGGAGGAGGAGGAGGAGGAGGAGGAGGAGGAGGAGGAGGACGAGGAGGAGGAGGAGGAGGAGGAAGAGAGGAGGAGGAGGAGGAGGAGGAGGATTAGGAGGAGGAGGCGGCGGCAGGGGAGGGAAGGAGGAGGAAACTAAATACGGAGGATGAGGAGAGGGGGTCTTGGAGAGGAGGAAAGGAGGGGCAGGAACGGAGGGCGAGGTGGATGGGGAGATGAGAGGGTGAGGAGGATGCGACGCGAGGGGAGGGGAGGAGAAGGCATGTGGCGAGCAGGAGCAGGAGGTGGAGATGGGATAACGAGGAAGAAGGCAGGGGGAATGAAGAGAGAGGGAGGGGACGGAAAGGAGGAAGGGAGGAGGAAGGAGGATAGGGTGGGAGAGTTTAAGGAGGAACCATGACAGAGAGAAGGAGCAGGAGGAGGAGGAGGAGGATCAAGAGCAGGAACATTGGGAGCAGGAGGGTTAGCAGAGGGCGGAGGAGGGGAAACGCGAAGGGACGTCAACGACGAGGGCCGCATCGGATCCCGAATTGTGGCCCGCGCCTGGGCGAGAGGTCCATCCCGAACGACGGGAGCAGGGCAACAGTCCTGGAAGGTGGCGAATTCTGCAGCGGGAGCACCACTCTGAAGGAGCAAGAGCATTTCAGTCGAAAACGGCATTGGATATTCAGAGGTTGAAATCTTCAGAGGGTCAGAAGACAACGCGCAAGAGACGCGGCAGCACGCAGGCACATTGGTCAGGGGGGAAGGGGAGCGGCAGCACGCAGGCACACTGTCGGGGAGGGGGGGAGTGTTACTCGTATTAGGTAGGTAATTGCGGCGGTAGTGGGGGGAGGGAAGGGGGGGAGGGAAGGAGGACAAGCTAGGTGCGCTCGCGTCATATCTGACGTCCTACCCCTCCCTCCCATCCCTTACCATGGCGCTGATTTTCTCTATCCGCGGACGCGTGTCGTAGCGGACCTGTGGCTCCGCGCGCGCGTGCGTAGTGGGTGGTGGTGCACGTGCGTGCGTGCGTGCGTGTGTGCGTGGTTGTCGTGGTGGTGGTGGTGGTGGTGGTGGTGGTGGTGGTGGTGGTGGTGGGTGGTGGTGCTGGTGGTGGTGGTGGTGGTGGTGGTGGTGGTGGTGGTGGTGGTGGTGTGGTGGTGTGGTGGTGGCGGTGCGGTGCGGCGCGGTGGTGGCGGGCGGATGGGCGCGCGAGAAAAAGGCCCGCGCTGGGGCGAGAACGCCATCCTGAACGACGGAGGCCAAACACCGATCCGAAAATGAGGCCCACGCTGCAGCGGGAGCACGATTCGGAACGATTCGGGAGCAGAAATGAGGCCGGCGCCTCAACGAGAGCAGCATTTTGGGAAAAAATGACGCCGGCGCCTCAGCGAGAGTCGTTTCCCGGGATTTCCCGGGAATCCTGTGTGTAAAAAAACAGTACGCGGAGGGTGCGCGGCCATCACCCGGACGCCATCAGGGGAAGAGGGAGAGTATTTTCATATTGAGTAATTGTGGAGGGCAGGTGAGGAGGAAAGCGAACGAGATGAGAATGAGGAGGGAGGTCTGGGAGGAGAGAGACCCAGGTGAGGTCAAGCGAGGGGGAGGGGAGACGGGAGGGGGTAAGGGGAATGATGAGGAAGGCGGACGGGAGGAGGGAATGAGGACGACGAGGAGGAGGAAGAGGAGGAGGATGAGGAGGAGGGGGAGGAGAAGGGAGATGCGGGAGTGAGGGGGGGGGAAGGGACAGGTGGCAAGGAGAGGGGGGAGGAGCAGGAGAGGAGGAGAGGGGCCAGGAGGAAGGGGAGGAGGGGGCGGACCGCAGCAGCGCCACCGCGGAGGCGTGGCTGAGGCGGGCCGGCGAGACCCTCGCCGACTTCGGCGAAGCGGAGCGCGCCACGAGCAGGCCCCGCGCCCTCGGGGCGCTGGGGAGGGTCTCGAGGCCTCGGGGTGTCGCGGGCGAGTTCGTCCCGTCGTTCTTCCCCTCTCCCTGTCCGCGCCCTAATTTGCCTCGCTTCGTCCCACCGTTGCCCTGCCGCTGCTTGGATCCGAGCGGCCGCCGGCGAAGAGTGCCTCGGGCGAGTCGTGTTCAGTCGGCGCCTCCCCGCCCTGCCTCCCTCCGCCTGCGGACGCCCCTCCCCGCCCTCTCGCGGTCGCCGATTCGCTCCGCCGCATCCCGGCTGAGGCCCCGACAGCCAGATCGGACGGTTTCGGGGGCGGCCGGGGGGGGGGGCTGATGGTCGTGGCGGGTGGTGGCTAGGAGGGGGGTGGTTGCCAGGAGGAGCTACCATGGCCGGGGCCATGATACCTCCCCAGATGTCATGGCGACTCTTATTTCAATTCGTCCCTTGGCCCCCCCCCCCCCCTCTGGGCTGCGCACATGCCTCGGGCCATGATTTACGGAGTTCCTCTTGGACGGCCCCCCTCTCGAGCGCCCCCGATGGTTGCGCCGCCGGCCAAAAAAGTGTTTGGCGATCTTCTGGGCATCCAGGGAGGCGGCTGCGGGAGGCCGCTTGAGATCGCTGGATGGGCCTCCACGTCCAGAGATATTCTCCTGTCCATCGCAGCACCAGATCGAAAGTGCAGTGGGCCAGGAGTCCACCTCCTCTCCGTGCTGATGCCAAGAAGTGCCACTGGTTATGTTCGATATTTGGAAGGATGCTGGAAAGACTACCAGGATAAAACAGGCCGACGACCAGTCGTACCCGCGCGTGCACGAACAGGCAGAACCCTGAACTCACTTTGAGTCGCGAGGTTTAGATAAAAAAAAAGCTATTCGATAGGGTTGCAAACTGATATGAGTTTTCGAAGATAGCTCGAGTAGTAAACCGATCTCAGGTCTCTCGCCAGTGTAGACTGGTGCTTTCGACGCTGCTGAAACGGTGGCTGCAATCGAGGGTTCTGTAGCCGCTCTAAGCTCGAAATTCAGCAGAAGGGCCAAGCAAAGCAGCAGAACAGTTGGCAGAGTGATAGTTGCTTTCGATGATAGCACGAGTAGCCAGACCGAGCTCTGGTCTCTGGGAGTGTGAGAATGAAGCTACTGGTCGTACCCGCGTGAACGAACAGGCAGAGCCCTGAAATCATTCTGATTCTCGAGACTTAGACCAAAAGGTATCTGATTGAGCACAAGCGGCTGCACAGTGATTTGCGCTTTTCGAAGATAGCGCAACCTCAGGTCCCTCGATGCTTTCGGCTGAAGATTCCGAGGCAGCTAAATCCACTGGTGCCATCGAGAGCTCTGTAAGTGCTCTAGAACTCGAGGTCAAGTCCGCCAACGAAAGCGCAACAAACATTGTCCCAGGACGAAGCGCTTCATTGATACAATCCCCTTCAACAAATGCGCCGACCGAGCTGATATTGAAATGGCGAGCGCGTCTAAGATCGAAGTTTTCTGAACAACATATTACAAGCCAAGCGAATTGCCCAACGTCTTCCAACAAATTTTTCAACTGGGCAAATGCCATAGACGCTTCCGTGAAGGATTTCGAGACCGACTACCCCGCCGGTGACGCCGTATTGTAGACGCTTCGCGTATCCCAACCATCGAGGCAATCTTGCCCCACATCTCCAAGCTCGCATCGGTGGCGCACCACCACCCGGATGCGCGGGCAGCCGGCTGCCCGCATACCTGGAGTGAAATGGAAATGGACAGGCAGGACTTTCAGTTGAAGGCGCCGATGCTCGTCCTCGAGAAGATCGTCCCAGCCGCCTCTCTGACTACCCTGGGTACGCACCGCTGCTCGGTGTGCGCGCTACACGTCGCGCTGGCGGGTTCCGACGCCTCCTTGGGTGACGACGACCGGCTTGCCGGGCTCGCCTACATCGGTGGCGGATTCGCATTATCCAACACCGACCTCAACGCCCCCTTGCCGTCCACCCCCGCCCCAGGCACCAGGCAGGACCCCCCGCGCATTCCCGACGACAGGCTGACACCCGAGCAGAAAAACGGCAGGTTCAAGTGCGACAGCTGCGGTAAGGACCAGCTACGCTCCACCGATGGCACGTGGATCTCCGACGGCACGCGCCTGATGGCAGCACAGAACAGGCCCCAGGCCTACCTCAACGGTGCGAACATGGGATGGCACTGCGAGACCTGCTGGATCCGATACCTGGAGGAACAGGGCATTCCAGCACCAACCGGCGCAACAATCGCCGACAAGGTCAAGGAGCACGAACAGCAGAGGACGGGTGCCGCAAGCAACGAAAAGGCGGGCGCTCTCCCCTCCCTGGGTCACCTCCCACTTGGCTTTGGATGCAGCCCCCAGGCGGACACGAGGTCGCTATCGGACCTCATCATGACGCCGACCGGCATGCAGATCCCTGAGCGCGCCAACACCACCATTCCCATCCTACGGATCCGAGACGAACGGTTCGGCCTCAAAGCTGCGCAGAGCCAAATCTACTCCGCTCGGTGCGACACATGCCCCCCAGGGGCTCCGCTCCTCGTCTGGAACACAGGAGCCCCTCCCCTGGGCTGCTTCATATGGAAGCCAGCGGAGGGGGTATGGGGTTCCCGAGCAGGCCGGGCTGCCTCCCATTGATAGGCGAGCCATAGCCTGGTGGGAGCGCAACTGGAACGCCACGCGGTGCTGCCGACGCTGCCTGGTCCCCGTGTGGAATGTCAGTCCTGCTACCCTGGACCACATCCTTTGATAGGGACTTCAGAGCGCTGTGCCCAGCCGAGGCCCCTGTCCTCCCGACGCTCAACAGCCAGATAGGAGCTGAGGTACCAGTGGACATATTCAGCTCTCTCCCATGGCTAGGCGCGGACGCCAAGGCCCAAGATCGCTTCGCCGAGGCCGGAGCGACAAACCTCCCTGGGTCTAGCGCCGCGGGTGGTGCTGCCTCCGCTGCCGAGCGAGCCCCCTGGTCTCTAGCACAGCTCATGGAGCTCCTGCCAGAGCTGCCAGTCCCGCAGGACCCGCTCCTGGACAGCAGGGACGTCAACGACCCCACGCTGAGCCCAGACGACCCCAGGAGCGGACCGGGCAGCGGAGACGTGTCCGTACAGCGACTCCTGGTGACCTACCTCCAGGACTTCCACCCTGGGCTGGACTACACCTGGCCACAGTTCTGTCTCACTAACCGCGACAGCAGCATCCCAGAGCCTAGGAGCGACGAAGCCTCCTGGCTGGGTGGTCGTCTGACGGAGTTCCTCGGGACGGCGTGCGGCGAATGCATCCCTGAGGATTGTGCCCCGCCCAACCAGACCTGGGAGGGCAAACGACAGGCCGCGGCGCGGGTCGTCACCCACCTCACCAACGGCGAGAAGCATAAGGAGTCCTGAAAGAGGCACGCCTCGATCCTCGCCCCGGCGAGTGGCCTCAGCCCGTTCAGACATGAAATGGGCACACTGACGAGTTTCCTATTCAGCCTCAGCGCCGACGCCCTGGCCTCGACGACCATCGCTTCCCTGGCCGAGTCGCACGTGCAGACCATGAGTGAGGACAGACCTGGCACCCCTACGGCGGCCGACGCAGACAAATCCCCGGGTACGAGAGACGACGACTCGCGTCTGGGTTTCCCGGACCCGCCCGACCACACTGTCAAGGACGAGAGCGGTGAAGACGCGATCCCTCTTACGGAAAAGGTGGAGTCACCCGACTTCGTAAACCCCCACGAGTCCCCTCCCCCTGTATCCTGTTCGGGCTCTGCCACGGAGGTCGACGACGACGGCCCAGGCGACAAGGCGCCTCAGCGGAGCCCAACGGCAGACAGCTCGGAACCCAGCTCTGACCGCGACCCAACTGCTGCCTGGGGTGGCCCGGTTAGCACCGACCAGAATGCCAGTGAAGCCAGGGGATCAGATTATGATGAGATCGCCCGCGACAGGGGCGACGTGCGGAGCCGTCGTCCCCCACTACGCAACCCGCAGGTCCCTGGACATAGGCCTACCTACCCTCGTTCAACGGATCGTCATACACTCAACCTGTTGACCGACTCACATGGGGGCCCCATGTACAAGGTCTGGCCGGGCACAGTGGACTTGGAGCGCCGCGGAGAGCTACCCGCCAAACGCCTCACCAGGCACCAAACGGAGTTGGGTGCAGTATTCTGCGCTTTGTGGACCGCCTACACACAAGGCATTCGGCTCCCTGGATCCAGGGAGCCCAAATCAGACCCGAGGCTGCACACGGACGCGACCATCAACAAGTTTTTGGACGACTGGAAGGGCTGCGGATACAACGCCTACTTGATGGACACGAGGTTCGACTACCGCATCGACTGGGCCAAAGTGCGGGCCGAGTACCTGCGTCGCACCCGGCCAGATGGCAAGGGCAAAGGCAACCACCAGCAGAACAGCTGGCGCGACCGAGCGTCGAGCTCCTGGGACACCTGGGGCACCTGGCAGAGCGACTGGAGCGACGGCTGGCACGACGACCGTTGGCAGACGGGAGGCAAGCGTGGTGGAGGCAGACCTGACGAGCGCGGCGAAAAGAGGCATCGATGGGGAGACTGAGCTCCCTCGCCACCCATCCCGCACCTAGGTGGACAGAGACGTCAACCTTATTGCACATTGTGAGCGGCCTTCAGCTGCCTCCCGTTCCCTCTCAACCGTGTGGCAGCCTCGCTGCCTCCTTCCCTGGTTCACACACTTCCTGCCTTTGGACCCAAGTGCGTCGACCAGCAATGCCATCTGCTTCGCTGCGCGGGGGGGCGCAGCGCGCAGACCCTAGTTGGCCCCTGGCCCCGCTGTAGTGGTTCTCACCTGTGGACCGAGTGGCCCCGTGCTCGGCTATGCTGCTTCGGGACCGACCATGACCACTCCCGAGACGCGCTTATAATCCCTGGGCTTTCTTTATCAAACAGCGGCCTTCAGCTGCTCCTTGGACGACAGGCCCGCCTGGCGGCATCCTGCCGCCCCTCCTGGTACGTGCACTTCCTGCCTTTGGATCCACGTGTGTGTACCAGCAATACCGTCCGCATCGCAATCTCGCGTTGCGTGTGGCCATAGTGGCCCCTGGCCCCGCTGTAGCTGGTTTCACCTTGCCAGGCTTTGCCTGGCACGCAGCTCTGAGACCGATGACCTGGTGGTTTTCGCCCCGTCATTCCCAGATCTGCGCCTCTACTCCCTGGGCTTCCTAAGTTACTGCGGCCTTCAGCCGCGCATCTCTACCTTTCCTGGGAGCGACACTGGGATCGGATCCTCGCTTGGGTCACGTGGTGTACAGGCAGTCCTTTGTCGTGGGTCGCCCCGCCGTGGTGGCGGAATGCCCACCTGGTCCGCTTGCACCGTGCTCTGACTGGCTCGCTGACGTGACCCCGTTCACTGTTGCCTCCCACTGTTGGCTGTGCTATGCCACCCTGTGGACAGCGATGCACGGTCTCGGCGTGTGACGGGCACTCGGTCTCCATATCGTCGCTCCCACGCGCAACCTCGTTGTGCGACCACTCCCTGGGACTCTGTGACCGTGAAGGGCTTGCTGACGTGGGTATACGGCAGCTTCTTCCTTTTCGAGCGCTTTCCTCGACCTGGCGTTGCGTGGGTTGCGAGGCGCTGGCTGTCACTTAGTCGTTTGGTGCACGCTTACTTCCGATTGACCGTGTGTCTCTCGCCAGTTGGGTACTCGTGTACTTCTGCACTGCGGCACACCATATCCCTGGTCTCCTGCGTGCAGGCGCATCTCTCAGCAGTTGTTTTGAGGTTGCCTCAGTTGTCTTCGACCTCAGGCTCACTCTGTCAGCCGTGGATGCGTATTCTGAAGCTGCGACGGTTCGCTGGCGCTGTCAGAATTCTTCTCCTTGCTGGACGACGTCAGCTACGCTTTCGGTCTGCTCATACCCGACAGACTCCCTGGGCTGACTTTCTCGCACGGGGTTTGGTTCCCACCACCATGCGGTTGTCGGTTGTCACGACCCATGACTGGGAATGTACGGCGCGCCATTTTGGCCGCGTCCGCTTTGCTTCCTGGGTGACTGACCTTTCAGACTCCCTGGGTTGCAGCTTGCACGACCGCCTGGCCTCTCAGACGCCCTGGGTTGCTGCTTGCCCCGCCGCCTGATCCGCGGCCCCCGCGCGCGCCGGGGTAATTCGTCACGGCCGCAGCCCGACCGTGACCGCTCGCCGCCGGCGCTTCCGCCTGCGGCTGTTAAAAAAAAAGTATCCCCACCAGGCGGGACTTACGACTCGCCGTGTGCGCTCTCGCCCGCGGCCGCGACCAAAAAAAAGTATCCCCACCAGCCCGGTCCGCCGCTGGGCTGCTGCGTGAGGGCTCGGCTTGCCGCTGTAGGTGTGGCCACCCTCCGTCGCCTTAGGTTAATTCGTCGTTGCGTGCCCCGCTTTGACTGGACTCGCCGCCGGCGCGCTCGCCCGCGGCCGCTGACTAAAAAAGTATCCCCACCAACCCATCCAGAAACGACGCCCAGGCGAGTAGAGGGCCGTCCTGAGGGGCTTTTCGGCGTCTTGGGTGCCTCGGGGGGGCCTCTTTGGGCCGCTCGGGGTCCTCTTGGGGGCCTCCTGGGGGCCTCTTGGGGGCCTGTTGCGGCCATCTTGGGGCCTTTTGGGGCTTCCTGGGCGCTTCTTGGGGCCATCTTGGATGATATCGGTCAACGAAGGGGGGGTCCTTAATTACGGTCCCCCCCAACAGGAGGCCAAAATGGAGCCAAAATGTTGGTAAAATGAGTGATGTCGGCTTCCTCGTGCCGGGGACGCCACGCGCGCCACCCTTGGGGCCCGAGCGTGCCAGGCACGCCTGGTGCGCCAGATGCGCCACGTGCTCCAGGTGCGCCAGGTGTGTTGCACACTCCAGCCGCGCCAGGTGCGCCACGTTCGGGGCACACATCGGGAAATATGTCGGCCCCCTTCCATCCTTGTCGCAAAAGAATGCCCATCATTGTGTCTGGTGGGCCTGCGCACAGCAGGCCACGTGCCACCACCCCCGCCGTCCCCGCCAACAGAAACAACTTGACAGTGATCGCGGGGTGGCCGCGCACGATCCAGATTAAGCCGCGAGGTGCATTTTGTATTGTTGTTGTGTCAGAGATGATAGCCCTGCGCGAAGCAGGGAACGTGCTGACACCCCCGCCGTCCCTGCTAAAAACCATACAAAGTGGTCGCGGGCCTCACGAACATGACTCCAGACAAGACTTTGCCCCAAAGTGTATTTTGTATTTTTGCTGGCAGGGATGGTTGGGGAGGCGCACCGGGTTGGCCAAGCATGATCCAAATGTGGAGGCAGAGTGCGTTTTGCTGTGTGTCTTGACAGGGATGGTGGGGGGGGACCCGCATTGGGTTGGCATGGTTCTGGGTTGACCGCCGGCCGGTTGGGGGGGGGGTACATTAATTGGGAACGGTGATAAACCCTTCCCCGAAGGGAAAAAAGGGGGTTGGAAGAGGAAACGCCCTAGACCACCTATGCCCAGAGAGCTGGTAGGATTAGCACTTCCATCTGCTGTTCGCGCTTGAGGACCCTCTGCCCCGCCGGTAAAAAAAGCGGGGCACGGGCGCTTTCTTTGAGCTCTTTGCTTGCCGAGGCGGGGATTCAACCATAACCACCGCCGGGTTATCGATCTTCGGCACCTCGGCAGACGGTGGCTCCGAATATTTTCGGACCTGGGGGTAGGGGAAATACGTCCATATCCATCGCCTGCCGAAGATCCCGAAGATCGATCCCCCAGTCGGTGGTCACGGACATACCCGACTCGCATGCGTACCTCCCCATTCTCTCGCCCTCCTTCATTCTGCCGTTCTTGCCAGACCCATGCGTTGTTTATTGGTGGCGCGGCGGTGTATTGCAAGCAGAGCAACTAATGCAGATAGGAGGCTACAATGACTTTATTGGTGGGGCTCAGGTATGTTGGCATGTGTTGCGGATCCTACCCTTTGCAGCATGTTTACGCGTGCTGTCCCTTTGCTGCAGCCGCTGGTGACGTGATGGCGCAACATGCGCGCCCTCTCCCTCGGCGTTGCACGCCCTTTTCCCTCGGGACCTGCCTCCAGGGGAAACCAAAAGGGACCATTGCTCCTTGGACCACTACCGGGGTGCGTTCTGATTAAAGATTCTAGACGGATCCAGCCGTGGCGACGAGTGCCTCCCCAGAGTCGCACACGAGGGAAATGCTGCAGTGTCGGCGCCCTGTGCTCCTCTGAGCCCCCCCCTCCTCCATCCATCCTCCTCCTCTCCCTCCTCTCCTGCAGAGGCCCACGACGGCGAGCACGAGGGAACTGTTGCAGCGTCGGCACCTGGTGCTCCTCTGCGCCCCCCCCTCCTCCAGCCATCCTCCTCCTCTCCCTCCTCTCCTTACTCACTGCACTCCCGAGGGGACTCGCAGGCCCGCGGAGTCCACGGCGCTCCTCCACCGCACCGCGCCGCGCCGCCGCGGCGGCCGACGCGCCCGCAGCGCCCCCTGAGAGGCCAGAGGGTCCCCGCCCGAGGGGAGAGAGACGCCTCCAATGGCGCGGGGGAAGAGAGGCGGGCCCTTCCCTCCTGCTCGTCCTCCCGCCGCCACTGCCATCCCCCCCGAAGCGCCCTAAGAGGCCAAAGGGTCCCCGCCCGAGGAGAGAGAGACGCCTCCAATGGCGCGGGGGAAGAGAGGCGGGCCCTTCCCTCCTGCTCGTCCTCCCGCCGCCACTGCCATCCCCCCCCCCCGCACCCCTCCCCGGTCCGCGCGGCGCCTCCAGGTCGGCCGCCCGCCGCGTCGGCGCCCGCGGCGTGGACGGGCTGCTTGGCCCCTGGGCCCCCTCGCCAGAGGTGGCGCCGGGGGTCGTGGTCGTCGTCGTTGTCGTCGTCGTCTTCGTCAATGTCATCGTCAACGTCGTCGTCGTCATTATTGTCATGGCCGTGATTTGGAGGAGGAGGAGGAGGAGGAGGAGGGTGGAGGGAATAACCCTCCTCCCCCTCGTCTTCCCTCTCCCCCTTCTCCTCCTGTTCCTCCTCACTCATCCTCGTCTTCTCTCCTCCTCCCCCCATTCGAGCAGTGACGAGGCGCCCCCCCCCCCCGCCTGCCTGCTTCGAGGCATCCCCCAAGCAGCACCTCTAGAAGGCCGTACAGCGTGCTCTAAAGAGCATCAGGACCTTTCTGTCTAATGTTGTACTGGTTTAGGCCGTCGGTGTGGTGTCCCATCAGCGCTGCGCTTTTGTATACGAAATCCTGCTGGCTCGGAGGAATTTCATATGGGCACAGGAAGACTGGCGGCCTGTTCCCACTCAGTATGGCCATCCTACCTGCTCCATCCTTTTTCCCTTCTCACTCCGCATCGGCGGGACACGAGATCAGGGTGATAGAGTCCACGCCCTCACCACGGCCTCCCCTGCCATTTTGCAGCACTGTGAATAGCAGGCTTCATATCAGAAGCTTCGGACTTTTGCAGCGCAAAGGCTTGGCTCGGAAGGCCAGCTGTAGACCAGCTCCTTTCGGTATTTGCTTTCCCCGTCGGTGCTCAATAGCCTGCTTCAAACAAGGAGTCTTGACTTACACATGCTTCCAGAAAGCAGGATACCCTGCGGAGGTCCAGTGCCGATGTAGATCTGAACCATATGATCTGCATCAGTTAAGGATAACGAGAGAAGTGGGAGCGCAGAGAAAAAAGGACGAGACGGAAGCGGATGAGGCGGGGTGGATGAGGCGGAAGGTGGAGCTTGAGAAGGGGTCACGAGAGCAAAGCCTGAACTCACCATTGATTCGGTAGTCTACCCTTGCGTCCCAAGTCCAGGATGGATCTTCGGCGGGTCGGCGGGCGAACCGTGTGGCGGTTCGCGGTGGGTCTTAGGTGGATCGAGGGTGGGTCGCGGGGCGAGTCGAGGGTGTGTCGCGGGTGGGTCGCGGGTGAGTCGCGGGGTTGGTCGCGGGTGTGTCGCGGGTGTGTCGCGGGGCGGGTCGTGCGGCGGGTCGCGGGTGGGTCGAGGAGCGTGATTTGGAACAAGAAGAGGGTGAGTTTGCACCGGGTAACGGCATTTCAGCCACGCACCCTGAGACAGTCCAGTGTAAGACGGGTAGTTCCATCATTCTGATACAGTGCAAGCTATGTCGTTCCAGATTCGTGGTGAATATTACATCACGTGATTGTTGAATCAACACCGCGTGTGAATTGCATGGAATGTTTTGTGACGGCGATGGCGGGGGTTTCGATGCGGGTTGGCCGGGGATGGTATTAGTCTATATTTACAAGCACCCACCGTGCAACGTCCGCACGTGACAAGCTCCCATGCTGGTGCAAACATCCCGCCCACTCACCCGCAATTTGTCGTGACAGCTCATATGGCCATGATCTCAACGAGCGCATGGGCGCGTGGAACTCAACCGCGTAGACAAGTCCGTCCTCAATGCCGCGAAATGGTTGTGGCGATGGTAACGACCGCGACGCCTGCGACGATGGCGATGACAGTGGTGATGACGGTGATGCGGATGGCGATAGCAGTGGGAATGGGGACGATACGATGTCGTCGACGATGACGACGGTGATAGTGGTGACGGTGGTGGTGACAATCATGTCGGGATATGGAGGATGTTGGCGATGATGACCATGGTGTTGCTTATGATGATGACGAAACGCCCGCTCGCAGAAGTTGATGAAGGCGATGACATCGGTGATGACGATGTTGACGGCGGTGGTGATGGTCCCGACGATGGTGATGGTGGTGAGTATGATGATGGTGGTGATGATGAGTATGGTGGTAATGGTGATGGTGATGATGATAGTGACGGTGATAGTGATGGTGATGCTGATGGTATTGATGATGTTGATGCTGAGGATGACGATGCTTATGATGATGACGGTGATGGTGATCGTGACTTTGATGATGGTTACGATGATGTTGTTGATGATGATGTTGGTGATGATGTTGCTTATAATGCTGATGATGATGCAGACGATGGTAATCGTGACGATGGCGATGGTAAGAACGCTTGCGCTGCTGAGGGTGATAAGAAAGGCGCTCCCGCATATGGCTGAATAATTGCTTCATCTCGACGTGCGTTCTTGAAAACCAGTGTGGTGCCCCATGTTGCCGAACCTTTCTATGCCGAAATGGTTGGACAACCGGTGGTTTTGAGGCCGCTTCGACATGCTCGCGGTGAACTCGCGCGCACGTGTGGCCCGCATACCATGGTTTGACGGCGTTGGTGGGCGAGCGATGGTGGTTGAGCGTCTCCGACGTGCAGGCGCACTTGGCCCGCATGGTGGGATGTGACAGACATGGCTCGACCCAAACGGTGGTTTGGCGAGTTCGTGGGCAGTTTTCGTTTCGATGTCGTGTTGCGGCAAAGGCGGATTGGCGACAGGACGAGGGAACACGACACCAGCACGAACACGAAAAACACCTAGCGCCGCGGTCGCACACCTTCCTCGCCTCCCCCCTCTTCCTGCCTCCTCCTGCGCTGCTCCCTGGGTGGTTGCAAACTGCGCAGCTGTCGCCACTCTCGCAAGGCTCCTGGGAGGCACGGCGGAGCAGCGGAATACGCGCACCCGACCGAGATTTCGTCGCCCCTTTGTTGGGGGGGGGGGCTGCGAATTGCGCAACCGTCGCCATTGTCGTGGGCTCCTGAGAGGCACGGCTGGGTCGCAGAGTACGCGCACCCAGCCGATACCTCGCAGCTCTCTGAGAGTTGAGAACTGGGCAGTCGTCGCCACGTTCGTTGGCTCTTGGGGGACATGGCGGAATCGCGGAGTTTCTTGATCCAGCCGAGGGTCCGCAGTTCGCTGGGAGGCTGCGAAGTGCGCAAGGGTCGCTACTTTCGCTGGCTCCTGGGATGCACGGCGGGGTCGCGGACGACGCACACACAGCGACGGGGTCGCGGAGTACGCGCACCCAGCCGAGACCTCGCAGCTCTTTGGGGGTTGCGTTTTGCGCATCTGTCACCACTTTCGTGGGCTCCTGGGGGCACGGCGGAGTCGCGGAGTACGCGCACCTAGCCGAGACCTTGCAGTTCTTTGGGGAGGTTGCGAACTGCGCAACCGTCGCCTCTTTCGGGAGGTCCTGGGAGGCCGCAAGTGTCGCCACTTTCGGGGAGCCCTGGGAGGCACGACGGGGTCGCGGAGTACGCGCACCCAGCCGAGATTTGGCAGTTCCCTGGTGGGTTGCGAACTGCGCAACCGTCACCACTTTCGGGGCCTCCTGGGAGGCACGGCGGGGTCGCGGAGTGCGCATCTCCAGCCGAGATCTCGCAGCTCCTTGAGGGGAGGGGGGTGCGGGCTGCGCAATTGTCGCCACTTTCGTGGGCGTTTCGCGGAGACCGCGCACACAGCGGCGGAGTCGCGGAGTACGCGCGCCCAGCCGAGACCTCGCAAGTCTTTGGGTGGTTGCGAACGGCGCAACGGTCGCCACGTTCGTGGGTTCATGGCACGGTCGTGGAGTACGCGCACCCAGGCGGAACTTCGCAGCTCTCTGGGGGGGCTGCGAACCGCGCAAACGTCTCCATTTTCGTAGGCTCCCGGGAGGCACGGAGGAGTCGCGGAGTACGCGCACACAGCCGAGACTTCACAGCTCCTTTGGGGGGCTGCGGCTACGAACTGAGCAGCCGTCGCCACTTTCGGGGGGTCCTAGCATACACGGCGGTGTAGCGGAGTATACGGGTCCGAGGTTGTTGCGCATTGCGCAATTGTCGCCTCTTTCGCGGCTGCTGGGGAGGCACGGCGGAGTCGCGGAGTTCGTGCGCCCATCCGGTATGTCGCAGCTCCTTTGGGGGGCCTAACACTCGCCCTCCTCCTCCTCCTCCTCCTCGTCATCCTTCTCCTCCTCGTCCGCCTCCCTCCCTCGTCCTCCTCCTCCTCCTCGTTCTCGTCCTCCTCCTCCTCCTCCTTGTCCTCCTCCTCCTCCTCCTCCTTCTCCTCCTCCTCCGCCTCCTCCTCCTCCTCCTCCTGCCCCTTCCCCTCCCTCGTCCTCCTCCTCCTCCTCCTCCTCCTCCTCCTCCTCCTCCTCCTCCTCCTCCTCCTCCCCCTCCTCCTAGTGTCCTCCGCCACTCTGGCGTGCTCCTGGGAGGCGCGGCGGGGTCGGGGAGCATGCGCGCCCGGCCGAGGCCTCGCAGGCCTCTGGGGAGGTTGCGAATTGCGCAGCCGTCGCCGCGCTCGGTGGCCTCTGGGGAGTCCAGCGGGGTCGGGGACCACGCGCACCCAGCCGAGACCTCACAGGCCTCTGGGGAGGCTGTGGATTGTGCAAGTGTCGCCACGTTCGTGGGCGCATGTGGGGGGGCACTGGGGGGCACGCGGATCCAGCCGAGGCTTCGCAGTTCCGTGGGTGGTTGCGAATTGCGCCATTGTCGCCGCGTTAGTGGGTCATTGGGAGGCACGGCGGAGTGTGCGGTTCCAGCCGAGGTTTCGTTGTTCCGTGGGCGGTTGCGAATTGCGAAATTGTCGTCATTGTCGTGGGCTCTGGGAAGTCTAGAGGGGATAGGGGCAGCCCTGGTCGTGCATATGTGGCGGGGTGTTCTTTTGTATGGAGCGATCCTACGAATATTCGCTTAACGTGGAGAAGGGGTTGTGTTCGCCTCGCGCAATTACAGTGAGCGGCTTGAATAAGGAACGCTTACTTTTCAAAAGGGGCTCGGTCGTTCCTTAGGCTTGCATGCGTTATGTATCGTTCCCTATGCGGTATGGATTATTTGTTAATCGTTCCCTATGAGTTATTCCTTGGAAGAAAGGGGCTTCGTTCCTTATTTATCGTTCCTTAGGTCAGGCCGATGACTGTATTCCCAGCCCTCTTGTGTTGGGTTGTCGTTTTGGATCGGGCACTGCAGTCGCAGCTCATCCCCCCGC